CCGCCTTCTCACAATCGTGTAATCTGAAGACACACATGAAAACCCACACGGGAGAGAAACCATATAAGTGTGAACTGTGTGATGCCGCCTTCTCAAAATCGTGTAATCTGAAGACACACATGAGAACCCACACGGGAGAGAAACCGTATAAGTGCGATCTGTGTGATGCTACCTTTGCACAATCGGCTAAGCTGAAGACAAATATGAGAACTCACACCGGAGAGAAACCATATAAGTGCGATCTGTGTGATGCTACCTTCTCCCGTCTGGATAGTGTGAAGACAGTCAGAGATGCGGGATTGCTAGGTGTACGTAAGAATATTATGTATACGGTGATTTGTTGTTAGTGTTTTGTTTATAAGGCTGGTTAATCCTGCTGTTGTAGAAATAACAGTCAACATCCCTGCATAGTGTGGATGCCACTTACGCAGCAAGCCCAGGCGAGACCATAATATAGTTTTACAGCAATGTTTGAGGGCCAGGTGCACAGTTGCTTTTGTAATTATTTAGGGGAAGCGACCACCTTGTGTCCTGGTATCAGGAGGTCGGACCGTTTACCCGGGTGTCAGGATATCAGACCAGTTTCATCATAACAGCAGGTATATATAATTACACCATTGACGTTTGTAACATCAGTCTAGTACGACGACACCATACGGACGTTCAGTGACTTCATTGTTTAAACGTATGTTTTTTATTGTAGCGTTTTTTGGTGTCTCTCTGCGCCACCCGAGGGCGCCACCAGTCGACACGTAGTGACTAGCAATAACCTTAGGTAAGAACACTCACCTAGTATGTCCGGATGCGTTGACATGGCCGTATCGTTGCCACCCGGACTCCGCTAGCCACCAGAGCGCCTCAGTGCTACTGCGCTCACTCTGTAGTACCCAACCCGGCGTTCGTTCCGGCTCCGGTGCGATAGTGTGGTTAGTCGACAATGCCACACCACAAACGTGACAACGGGGCACCCCACCCCGCTCTGCTGGCCTTACGTTACGTCTTATAATAAATGTCAACCCGGTGTATAAACAAAGGCTATACAGATATAGGCGTAGCCAGACAAAGTCAAAGGGCTAAATAACCGGCAGGCTCTCCAATGCACGGCTGCTCACAGCATTATGAGCATAGGCCAGTTTCTGATTTAATACTCTACTCACTGTATTATTTACTCGCCCCACAACAACATTCAACAGGACAATACAAACTGCCTACTCACCAACCGTAGCTCTTAACTGTGGCCCATGTTCTCTATCCTTGAACCCTCTGTGGGGTCTCACCCACAAGCCACGTCGAACACTGGTGAACCGTATGGTACTGTACCAGTACACGTACGCTAGCTGTCGTCACCATACTCTCAGTCTCGGCACACAACTCAGCCGGCCTCTCCACTCTATATGCTCATACAGAGTTAACTAGCTATACATGCTGCGGGGTCTACCTCACTCGACTCCCGCCACGAACTCGAGTGTTATCTCACTAGACGCCCGAGACGTACGAACTCGAGTATTATCTCACTAGACGCCCGAGACAAACTCGAGTGCTACCTCAGCCAACTCCCGGGACAAAAACACAACCGTGTCACTCCCGTTTCACACACCGAGTCCACTGTTTATTTCTCCCGCGTTACTCTCCGCCACTAGAGGGGGTGGCTAACCCATCCAACATGGCTGCACTCGACTATCCACAACAACAATTGGTGAGCAGGCAAAACACAACGAAAACGCACACTAATAGACACCAGACATCACAAATAATTATACAATCACAAACACGAAACATTAACCCATAACCTGCCCGTGGTTCCCAGTGAGCTACCTCACAATTACCTAGCTGGGAACCGTGGTGACCGGTGCCACCGCCACATTATATTAATTCAGTATACTTAGTTTCGTGATATATTATGTGCTTGCCCTTACAGTCGTTAAATGGCGCGTGATGTTTAGATGATATTAATTCGATATTCAGAATGAACAGTTAAATTGCGGTGTTTGATGCATTGATTTCTATTCTTTTTACTAATTTGTAGGAGAGCCTATATATAGCTAGGACGTGAATTCTACAAGTGAGACGAGGCTGTCTTCGGAGCAAAACACGTGGTCGTAACTTGAACGCCAGACAGGGTAGACATATCTGACGTGTGTGACCAGTACGTGGCAGCTTTCCCTGAAGCACGATGGAGTACGTGAGAATTAATACTGGGAAAAGTCCATATGAGTGCGAGCTGTGTGATGCTGCCTTCTCATTTCTGAGTAGTGTGAAGAGACACATGAGAACTCACACTGGAGTGAAGCTGTATAAGTGCGCGCCGTGTGATGCCACCTTTTCACAATCGGGTCACCTGATGAGTCACATGAGAATTCACACGGGAGAGAAACGATATAAGTGCAATCTGTGTGATGCTGCCTTCTCATATTCGAGTCATCTGAAGACACACATGAGAACTCACACGGGAGAGAAACCATTTAAGTGCGATCTGTGTGATGCTGCCTTCTCACAATCGGGTAATCTGAAGAAACACATGAGAACTCACACGGGGGAGAACCCATATAAGTGCGATCTCTGTGATCCTACTTTCTCCCGTCTGGATAGTGTGAAGACACACCTGAGAACTCACACTCAAGAGAAACCATATAAGTGCGATCTGTGTGTTGCCACCATCACAAAATCTGATAATCTGAAGACACATATGAGAACTCACACGGAAGAGAAACCATATAAGTGCGATCTATGTGATGCTGCCTTCTCAGATTCGAGTAATCTGAAAACACACGTGAGAACTCACACTCAAGAGAAACCGTACAAGTGCGATCTGTGTGATGCTACCTTCTCCCGTCTGGATAATGTGAAGACACACCTGAGAACTCACACTCAAGAGAAACCATATAAGTGCAAGCTGTGTGATGCTGCCTTTGCACAATCGGGTACTCTGAAGACACACATGGGAACTCACACGGGAGAGAAAACGAAGAAGAAAAATACGAAAGAAAAAATCATTTGAATGTAACATTTGAAGTGAAGAGTTAGCTCTATAATCACACATGGCAATGCATACTAACTCTATGGAGATGTCGTACAGATGTAAGCAGAAAGTACATCTCGAACTGTCAGACTCACATGTAAGATCAGCTTGGCTCTGTGAACAAGCGAGCACATTGCACACATGTGAAGTGGAGCAGTGCGGAATACCAACTAATAATAATGCCACTCAACTGTTACAGTTTCTTTCC